CCGGATTCTCCTTGTTCCCTTTTTTAAAGAGAGGCACTATACTTGCATTTTTCCAATCATCTGGGACTTCCCCCGATTGCCACGAGTTTTCAAAGATAACAGCCAACGGCTCTGCAATCACATCAGCCAACTCCCTCAGCACCCTCGGATGCATTAGATCCAGACCCATTGACTTGTGCATGTCCAGCTTTTCTAAATAGTCCTTAACCTGTTCTTTCACCACTGAGGGCTGCTCACCTCCTCCCAATACTGTGCTGCCCAATGCAGCAGTCTGGGAGCTGACCTTATCTCTGAAGACCAAGGCAAATAAGCATTGAGTACTTCAGCTTTTTCCACATCATCTGTCACTAGGTTGCCTCCCCTATTCAGGAAGGGTCCCACACTTTCCCTGACCCTCTTCTTGTTGCTAACATACCTGTAGAAACCCTTCTTGTTACCCTTCACATCCTTGCTAGCTGCAACTCCAATTGTGCTTTGGCCTTTCTGATTACCCCCCTGCATGCTCAAGCAAGATTTTTATACTCCTCCCTAGTCATTTGTCCAAGTTTCCATTTCTTGTAAGCTTCCATTTTGTGTTTAAATTCCCCGAAGAGTTCTCTGTTAAGCCAAGCTGGTCACCTGCCATATTTGCTATTCTTTCTGCACATCGGGATGGTTTGTCCCTGCAAACTCAATAAGGACTCTTTAAAATACAGCTAGCTCTCCTGGACTCCTTTCCCCTTCATGTTATTCTCCCAGGGGATTCTGCCCATCAGTTCCCTGAGGGAGTCAAAGTCTGCTCTTCTGAAGTCCAGGGTCTGTATTCTGCTGCTTTCCTTTCTTCCTTGTGTCAGGATCCTGAACTCAACCATCTCATGGTCACTGCTGCTCAGATTGCCACCCACTTCTATTTCCCCTACCAATTCTTCCCTGTTTGTGAGCAGCAGGTCAAGAGGAGCATGGCACCCAGTTGGTTCCTCCAGATGGACAGAGATATGCCAAGTTCTATAGGCAATGTTAATGTAAACAGCAACATGCAAACAAAAAATGCAGGCATGAACAACACTCTTGCAAGGATCAACCACTCATTATTTATTATTAGAGGGGGTAAAACAGTGATTGCCATTGTTAAGGCTCAGCTCCAGCATCCTCTTTCAATTGTTCCTAACTTTCCAAAAAAAATGCTCTTTGGGCTAAAATTTTCCGTGTTTATTCTCAACTCAGAATATTCATGGAAACTTTGATGATAATTAATTGATACCCAATATCTTAAAAATGGCTCCATCAAATACATACTTCACAATATGACTAAGTCATAATCTGCATCCGACACAGTGCAGCTACACACTTCCCCATACATGGGTCTTATGCCAAAGCCACAATTGACCCTTGGGTGTGTAACTTCTTTTCCAAAACTGAAATACATTACGTCATGCACCTCTCTGTTCTTAGCCTGCCCCCTCCCCCTTCTGCAGCTAGTTACCTCTTTACTGCTCTCCAGAATTAAACTACACAGCAATCAGGGAAAGCACATTCTATGCCAATGCGGTATGTTTTACAAAAAATGTGGACACAAAATGGTTCCATTTCTCTAGAATCAGTGTAAATGAACCATAACTGTTTTGTCATTTTCCTTCCTGACTAATGATGGCTGGTAGAGCTCTAAATTTAAAAAGCTGAAAGAACAACATAGTCAATAATTGGACAATGATTCTTCTCCCCGGGGGAAAAGGAATGACAGGGTTTCACTCTTGGATGGTGATGTTATCTGTCATTCCGGAGAGGGAGTTTGTATTCCTAGTTGCCTTCATTCTGTTTAGGTGATGTCTTGCTCTTTCATTCCATATACAATTTTGACTTTGATCCACACACACAAATAGTGGTTTTTAAAGCAAGTGAAATGCAGGTGCAGGGTTAAGGATGAAAGTGATGAATTAAATAAACACTTAGGCTGAAAGAAAAAAAAGTTCTGTTTCACCAGAGGTTCACCTACTCCCAAAATAACCAATTAAAAGGAGAAGAGCTTCTCTGGAATTTAAAAATTTGTAGCCCTAGAAATAAAAAACTATTTTTTTTTTAAAAAGTTGAGCATAGTAGAAGTATCCAAACAAACAGAAAACCCACTCTCTCATGTCATTTGTCCCCTTTTTTAAAAGAAAAGACTTCTCAAGCCTGATACACCTTTACGTTTCAAAGGTACTTTGTAATAAATCCTGCTCCAGAAGGTCCTGCACATGGTAGAATCATTGTGGTAACATGTAGTAATCATGATCGTTTTGATTCGGAAAATCCCCCTCATCACAGATAGCTAGTGCAGGCTGCTGCTACCATATCAGGAGTGAAAGTATAAAGGCTGCAAGAGTTGCATAGTCACTGGCTGCAATGTAGCTGGATGCTGAGACAAGCATCAGTTATATAAGAGGTGACATATAGGATCTGAGTTTTAACCCTATATATTTTAGCAACGCATGTTGAGAAGTGATTTTGCAACTACTTATAATTTTATCATCATTCAGACATTTTTGTCCCTGCCCCATCCTAGATACACAGTACTCTTCTTTGAGCACAATTTACAAGGCAGGTTTTGAAATTCAGCTGTTTTTTATTCCTTTATTTTTAAAGACATGGTAACAATAAGTGGGAAAACCCCCTCACACCTCATTCTTGTAAAATATTTACCTCTTGGCCGAGTTCATACAAGACAAACTTTAGCCAAAAATAATTTTTCTGAAAGTTATGAGCAAGTGGAACTGAACTGAAACGTCTCCACAAATTTAACCATAGTATTTTGTTACCAAGTGTATTCTATTTTCAATGAACGTTAATGACTGAGGACTGTCAGTTGCCCTAGGAGGATTTATTATGCTCATTAGTCCATTTATGTCAATCCAGAAGTAAGAATCATAATGTTGATTTATTTAGATGATCTGTTGATGGCAGAAAAGTTATTAGAGTGAAGGGAGGAGCTCCC